ATAGGCTTGCTGTATATTGCTTTTACTATGTTTAGATATGTGCCTTGTATCCCTGATCTTTCCAAGACTTTAAACATAAATGGGTGTTGGACTTTGTCAAATGCTTTTTCAGCATCTAAGGAGATGATCATGTGGTTTTTCTCCTTCAGTTTGTTTATGTGGTGGATTACATTGATGGATTTCCGTAGTTGAACCACCCTTGCATGCCTGGGATGAAGCCTACTTGGTCATGGTGGATGATATCTTGATGTGTTCTTGGATTCAGTTTGCAAGGATTTTATTGAGTATTTTTGCATCAATATTCATAAGAAAGATAGGTCTGAAGTTCTCTTTTTTTTGTTGGGTCTTTGTGTGGTTTAGGTATCAAGGTGGCTTCATAGAATGAGTTTAGTAATGTTCCTTCTGTTTCTATTTTATGGAATAGTTTGGAGAGAATTGGAGTTAGCACTTCTTTGAAGGTCTGGTAGAATTCTGCACTGAAACCATCTGGCCCAGGGCTTTTTTGGAAGGGAGACTGTTGATGCCTGCTTCTATTTCATTGGAGGATATAGGACTATTCAATCTTTCTACCTGATCTTGACTTAATTTTGTTAGATGGATTCTATCTAGAAAATTGTCCATTTCTTTCTGATTTTTGAATTTTGTGGCATATAGGCTTTTGTAGTAAGACCTAATGATTGTTTGGATTTCCTCACTGTCTGTAGTTATGTCCCCCTTTTCATTTCTGATTTTGCTGATTTCAAGTACACAACAAGGACATTTGCTTAACCATGTTCATAGCAGCTTTATTCGTAATAGCCAGAACCTGGAAACAACCCAGATGTCCCTCAGTTGAGGAATGGATACAGAAATTGTTGTACTTTTACACAATGGAATACTACTTAGCAATTAAAAACTAGGAAATCATGAAATTTGCAGGCAAATGGTGGGACCTAGAATTGATCATCCTGAGTGAGGTATCCCAAAAGCAGAAATATACTATGAAATATACTATACCATTAATAATATAAAAATATTATATTATATACTCACTTATATAAACCTATAAGATGGGATAAATATATTGAAATCTATACATCTAAAGAAGATAAACAAGAAAGAGGACTCGGGGTATGATAACCAATCCTCACTTAGAAAGACAAATAGGATGGACATTGGATGTAGGAGAAAACAAGTAACAGGACAGGAGCCTACCGCAGAGGGCCTCTGAAAGACTACCTAGCAGTGTATCAAAGCAGATATTAAGACGCCTAACTAAACCTTCGACAGAGTGCAGGGAATCATATGAAAGAAGGGGAGCTAGTAAGTCCTGGTGAGTACAGGAGCACCACAAGGACCAAATAAATCAGGGCACAGGGGTCTTTCATGAGACTGTTTCTCCAATCAAGGACCATGTATGGGTATAACTTAGAACCCCTGCTCGGATATAGCCCATGGTAGGTCAGTGTCCAAATGGGCTCTCTAATAAGGGGAACAGGGACTGTTTCTGACATGAACTCAATGGCGAGCTTTTCGACACCCCCCCCAAGCAAAGAGCAGCCTTGCTAGACCACAGAAGAGGACATTGCAGCCAGGCCTGAAGAGACTTGATAAGCTCGGGACAGATGGAAGGGGAGGAGGTCCTCCCCTATTAGTGGACTTGGAAAGGGACCGGGAGAAGATGAGGGGGAGGAGGGTGGGATTGGGAAGGAAAAAGGGAGGGGGCTACGGCTGGGATACAAAGTAAATAACTTGTGATTAATATAAAAAGAAATAAATTTTAAAAATACGTTTTTAATACATCATTTATTTTATGTGTGTGAGTGTTTTGCCTGCTTGCATGTCTATGTGCTTTGTGTGTGCAGTGCCCTCAGAGGCCAGGGGACAGAATACCCTGGGACTGAGTTACAGATGGCTGTGAGCCATGTGGGTGCTGGGAACCAGACTGGGGTTCTCTGCAGCAGCAGTGAACATTTTTAAACACTGGATTACCTCTCCAGCCCCATTAAATACATTTTTTAAATGTAATTTACAACAACAAAGTTGGGAATAAAGACAAACTACAAATAATCAGGGGAAAAACAATCATAATCTAATATGCTTAATATTAAAACTTTTATGAATGGCCATGTGGAACATATTGTTATAATTATGAGATATCTCAAGAAGGCCCGGAATGCATAAAACCCTGGAAAATTTTTCTATGTTATGGCCTTGGAATACATTTGAGTAAGAAACTAAAGAGATGTTTCATTTCTCCGATTTAAAGCTCTGGTTTTGTTACTTTAAAATTGTCTAGAGACATTGTAACACTCACTTAACCCAACCCGGAACCTTTTCGTATTGCCTACAATGCGTAAGTAGGGAAAAGTTCAGTTTTCAATCTAAGTAGTAATTAGCATGTACATTTTCACAGAAGATTTTATGTAGAAAGGCAGGAATATATAAATATTTGGAAGAAAGGGGAAAACTTCATAAATCTATATATACAATGTGTTCCAAATAATTGCAGTTTATTATATTTCTAATGACTTTGGTATACATACAGCCTGGTAATTGATGCACTTAAAAACTCATAAACTCAGATTTCCCCTATGAATAACAGAATACAGAGAAACCATCAGTTCCCAAATGCTGCTTTCTCTTCATCCCAACAGGTGGGCCTCAAGCTTTTCTATTCCCATAGTTATTGCTGGACCAATCTTTCCCCTTGCCTAAGCCATTGCCTCCCCTGAGCCACGGTTCTTTATGATGAGATGACTCATTAAGCTTTCTTCCCAGTAGGGAGCTGACACCCGATTAATGAGCTGACACTGTTCTGTGTCTCTCTCAGCTAGTGCAATAAGGCTCTGTTTACAAACACAGGCTGTTGTGCCTGTTAGGGAGGGCATGTTAAAATCTCCCTGCTGTGACAGTTTGTTCAAAATCATAGGCTTTTTAAGACAATGCCTTTGTGCCTTACACACCCGATATACTCCTTTCAGCAGGAAGCAAGTCACCCTACTGACAACATCCTGTTTGTCAGGAGAGGTACCAATGGGCTCAGCTTTGGGGTGATGAATAATGTGAACTGCAGTATGCTGTCACGGAGTCTATTCGCCATAAGATGCGTGGTTGATCATTGTTTACCCAAGACAGAAAATGTCACATTTGTAAGATAACTTTTCAGGTTGAAAGGTGTGGCTAAATTTAGTATCTGTTAGGCTTTCTCCCCTAACATTTCATTTGCCCTTCTCAACTTGTCAGACAGAGTTTACTCTGTGGTGTCTTTCTCAAAGTTTCCAGGAAGGCATCAGGCTACACAATGTTCTGGTTGCAGTTTTATAATGCCTCTATCGTAACATTTGTTACATTGGGCTCTGTTAATTATTCTCCTGTGTCAAAATGGGGTTTAGCTATGGCACACTTCATCACAGAGATGTGCTTACACATATCTCTGTGTGGAAGTTCAAGAACAGACAGCTGGAGAATGTAGCAGTAACCTTCTTGCAAGGTTTAATCATAAAACAGTTCACCTTACAGAGGCAGTGGACAATTGCTGGTCAGATACTGCCTATGTGTTGTTTTGATGTCTAGGTTGTGTTTAAGATTAATATAGCTGATTAAGAGACAGAAAAGCACAGTCGGGACCAAGAGCTAGAGAAACTGCCAGTCATATTAAACATAAATTTTCCTCAGTCGTTTGGCCCTCATTATGAGAAAAAAAAAACACAAAATATTAAATGGATTTAAATAGGGATCAATCATGAGAGTAAATGTACATCACTAAAAGACTGACTGCCTTCTGGAATTGAGACTGGAAGATAATCTTAAGGGATAATGGAGGATCTATGGCAGTAACTGGGAGACAGATCATGGCAGTTTGAGTGAAGTCAACAATGGAAGGTGACCACTGTAAATGAAAAATACAGGGTGGTTTTTGGAAGTGTCTACAACATAAAGAGGTTAATTATAAATACTGTGGAATAACAAGAAGGTGAAAAAGATGTCAAGGGTTCTGACCTCCACACTTGTTGGATTCTTAAGCACTTACTGTGACCCCGGGGAGCAGTTCTTTATTCAAAGAACAGGGTAAAGATGCCTGTTTCAGATGGGGTGCGGTTGGATGATTCATGTGTTCAACTGTTTATGCCAAATATCAAATGCTTTGAGAATATCTATGTGAAGATGCAATGAGGGTGGAGGTTTTTGTGTCAGGAACTCGAAAAAAAAAATGTCTCTACAGACCATTTGTATTCATCTGACCCAACCTGGATAATGAATCCTTGAACAATGATAAGAAAACTAGAAGATTATAGAACAACAACAAAAGATGAATAAATTTTAGAAGCAGGCAAAGAAAGGAAAGAATCAGAGGGTCAAGGACCTGCTTCTCAGGAGACAACGTAGTAACTGTGGATATAAAGGGAAAAGGTTAACAGGAGGTGAGTCAGTGCCTATAGTAGAAAATGCCAACCTCAAGAGCATGGAACCAAGTCAACGAAGAGAATTTCACAGGGTTTTAAGTACGGACAGGAGAAGGAGGCAGCAATGAGAGTTACCAAACTAATGTTCTTGAAAAAAAAATTAAGATAAATATTTACATTTTTACCACATTTAGCAACACCAAGGGCATTTGATACAGTATCAGACTCTATCCCAGTTAGTTGTGTGATAGTTGTAGAAGAAAAAGCCAAAGTAGAGCAAGCATAAAGAAAAATAAAATAAAATTAAAAAGTAGACTTTGAACACAGGCAAGGGCTCACTGGTTCTTATAATCTTTCTGCAACCTCTTCTGCAGATTTCCCTGAGCAACAGGGGAAAGGATTTGGTGGAGACATCCCACTTAGGATTGTGTGTTCTAAGGTCTCTCACTCTCTGCACATTGTCCCATTGTGGGCCTGTGCCATTAGTTCCCATGTTTTGTGGCAAGGTTCTCTGATGATTCGGCTACTTGTTTTAATGCTAGGCAATGAACAAATGAACAAGCAGTTGAGAAATATGTGCAGTTGAGAGGGACAGGCAATCAATCTGAAGTAATAATGCAAGCCCCTAAGAACAACTGGTTCAAAGAGGTCAACGCCTCAGAGATTCTGACAGAAAAAGAGGTATGGTTTTGATTTTATTAAAGGTTTTTTTTTTATGTTAATACAGGGTCTTGCTACAATGACCACCCTGGCTTTAAAGTTGTAATTCTTCTGCCCCAGCCTACCAAGTGACAGAAATAATAGGCTAATATCACCAGGCACAGCTAAGGGACAGCTACCTAATGCAAGGAAGGAAAAAGTAAGATAGTTAGAAAGCTGGAAATTTCCTTTATTTATATATTCATGCATTTTGAGATGAAAACAGTAAACAAAGAGTGCAGTGAGGTTTTTTTTTAATTTTGCAGCAAGTAGGGGTGCTTTGATAAAGTCACGTTCGACAGTAGAAGGTTTTTACCAGAATAAAGAAAAAGAAGACATTGAGTTGACAATAGTCATTGCCACCAAGAGGCCCAAGACACATATATAAGCATAGGTTTGGGGTTTTACTTAACATGATCAAATTCAATATGCCACGGATACTAGACAGGGTAGTAGCCATGGACAGTCAGAAGGCCGACAGGATGGAGCACATTCTTCAGGGAGGCCATAACCTCAGGAAAGGTCTGCTGTTTCTCTACTGTGTGACAGCAGTGGTCAGGGCAGAGAGCCACTTGACTTTTCTTGGGAGAGCAGAGTAGAGTTGGGTAAATAATGAAGGGAAGAAGCATGTGTACTTGAAGCGTCCATTGTCTTAAGGTTAAAAATCCCAAGAAGTCTGAGACATTAAAATAACCTTACTGTAATCAAAGTGAGAAAACACAACAACATGTTCAGGTGCTCACTGAGTCTAAACAGAACCCTACCTGCATTCCACAGTCTTCCAATGGATGCTGACTTTTGTGTTTATTTTTCTGTATGAAGTGATTCTCTTAAATCAACAAAGCCTGAAGAAAATGAAGAAATAGGAAAAGTGAAAGAAAGAAAAATATGAAATCATAATCTTATACTTGCTAGAAGAAAGTGGAGACAGGCCATCAAAATAGAAGGCAATAACTTCATTGTTCATATTCGCTAATGAATACACATATGTCTACAAATGTGCACACTTACAAACACACAACTTTTCCAGTCATTTAATTCCACTGTCTTCCTTAGAAACTGAAAGAATAACAAAATTGATTTTAAAAATTAGAATCCAAAGTCCTTTAAAAATAAAATAGTTATGAATTGAAATGAAAATGATACATATTCTAAAGTACATACCGTGAGCTAAGAAGTAAAGTAGGTGACTCCTGGCAATGAATATGAATTCCTCTTTGTGGCGCGCGCGTGTGTCTGTGTGTGTGTGTGTGTGTGTGTGTGTGTGTGTGTGTGTTACTAAGGACCTCATGCAGGGCCTGAGATATGTGTGGAAAACCCTTTACCACTGAGTTAAACTCCCAGTTTATTTAATTTCAACAAATCTTTGGCTGAGAAGCTCTTTTGACAGATAAAGCGATCAACACTAAGCACAGTAGAGAAATATAGGTAGGTGTCTGTAGGTGCTGAGTGGCTGAAGCAGGTTTCCACCTGGGCATATTGAGTTGGGGGTACAGGCACTTCACCTCATCCTCAGCCACTGCTCCATACTGGGTACACAACGAGAATCCTGAGAGCGGAAGCATACCTTTTAGATCAGGAGAGATACACATTACTCCATAGTGTTCCGGCCGTGATGTGTGAATCTAAGGCGTGTTCACTTACAGGGACAGTTTATCTCCCTACCATGTTTCATTCAGACATTCCTACCTTAGAATGGAAGAAGAATGGGGAAGAAAACATGGCTTTGTTGCTTCAGACCAAATACTTTTGGGGGGAAATTGTTACCATAGTATGTTGAGAACATCAGTGAGGAAGAAACAAGTTCAGGGGTTCTCTTCCATCCCTTTGTTTGTTCGTTCTGGGCTTGGCAGTGTAAGGAATTGAACTCAGAGCCTCCTACGTGTTAATAAGCACATGAACGCTGAGATACGCCTCTACACAAGGTTCAGCTCTTTCTTTTAGTTAATTCTGAGTATGAGCGTGTGTGTGTGTGTGTGTGTATGTGTGCATGTATATGAGCATGTGTGTGTATGTACGAGCGCATATGTGTGTGTATTGGTGTGCTTGTGTGCATGTGTGTGGTGTAGTATGGTGTGATGTGTGTGTGTGCGTGCCTGTGCAGTAGCCTGTGCTTACCATCTGGAGGCCAGAAGACTATTTCAGCTGTTGTACTTTATTACCTCTCGGAATCCTTATTCTCTCTTTTTTCCTAGTCTAATTTTTAATCTTTTCTGAGAATTTCATACACGAGTTCTGTTTTCATGTAATTCCCACTCCACCCTCTCCACATCAGCTCTTCCTGTGTGCTTAACTACCTCTCAGGTTCAAATCTTTTTCAATAATTATTGTCACACACGGACACATACACGTTGTGCAATGTAATGAGTTCATTTTACTTTGCTCATGTGTTCATGTTCTTAGGACAGATCACACAGGACTGGATAACCTAGGAGGGATGAGAGGCCTCAGGGATGGGAGAATTTCCATGAGCCAAGGCCCAGGATGAAGAGCACCCGACATCAGTGGTTGTTCTTACTCTTCAGACATGTCGATTCCCAGCCTGGAGCCAGGTTTACAAGGCCAGAGCAGTCCTTCTGTCTGTGCTTCCTCAGTACTGGGGGGAAGGGGGGAGACGAGCCCTGGGCTCGACCAGACCTGTGATTTTACACAAGGGCTGTTTTTCTTTTTCTTTTTTTTTTTTTTTTGTTTGTTTGTTTGTTTTTGTTTTTGTCTTTTTTTTTTTTAAATTAAGATTTTCATGCATGTTGAGCAGTGGTCTTATCTGCTGAGCCATCTCCCAGGCTTGAATTTAGTATTTAATGAAGGGATTCTCCCACCTTATCAAGGCTTAGCTGTGTGAAGTGCGGTCAGTCTTGCTGTCATTCTTTACGTCAGTCTTAGTGTTTCAAAAGCTATGTGCTCCGCACACAAGATCAGAAAGTCTAAGCTTTGACAATGATAACATTAGATACAAGAATGTCTGTCACGGTACTCGTCCATGACTGAATTGTTTTGTTGTATTGATTGTATCCCTCAGTTCCCTCAACAGCAGTCACTTATTGCTAAGATTTCTCATTTTGAATCAATTCTGTGAGAATTCATTGTGATCATATTGTGTATATCACATGTGGATTATGGAAACATGAAACACTGGTATTTGTATTTTCAACTAGTTTTCTTTCAAGAATTTGTTCTACATTTACAAGACTTCAGATACATGCTTAATAATTGAAACACACACACACACACACACACACACACACACACAAATAATCAGACACCACTCTCATCATACTTTAAATACAGGTGCTTACATATGATTTGAACTCTGTGTACTTTGTTATCTTAAAACTCAGTAAAGTTAATCATGTTCTTAGTCTATGGAGACAGGGACTTAGAATTTGAAAAGCTAAGCATCTTGGCCAAGGTCCTATAGCTAATTAATATCAGAGTTGGAGTTAGGAATGTGCTTAGAGTATTCTCTGTCCCTTAGCTAAGTGATATAATTTGCATGAAGTCATACACAGGGGTACTTGCACTTAGAGTCAAAATATACTTTAAATTGCCCAGTAGAGACAGAAAAGGAGATTATTGCTTTTTACCCAAGAAAAGAATAATAGACCTGAGTTTTGCAGAATATATATATATTTCAGATAGACAAACAAGAACAAGACCAGTATCAACAACAACAAAATCACTGTATTTGCGAAAGGATGGAAGTGTCATGAGGCTTCGAGAAGACAGAGAATGATAGAAATTTCCCAAGGTCCATGAATGATGGAAATAGAAGTGTTAGCATTGAAGATAAACCAGAGCAATCTCAGAAAGGCTATGAACACTTTACAGATAGAATCAGTTTCATATTTTCTGAGGCACAATTATCTATGTTTTACATAATCTTCTACTCAACCTTCTTAGCAAATATCAACTTTTCAATCACTTACGTACACAATTTCTACTTTTAATTCACTAGAGCCTGCTTAGGTAGCGAGGCATGTAGAACAATTCATGAGAGCTTCATGAATTGAAGCTCATATTATATGAGCTTCAAACTAAAATCCCAAAGTTGGTGTGAAAAAGTAATCAGACATGTGTGAAAACACTTTAAGAAGTGAAGAATCACATATAAGTTTAAGCGCTGATAACTTCAAATTTTGTGATCTTGGGTGAACGACTTAACTTTTAGATTCTTCATGAGGGAAATGGCCAGTGCAAGGTAGAATGTCTCCATAAACATTGCTTAGCAAATAACTCTCAAATAATAAAGAATTACTATAGTCCGTAAGGAAGGAAGAACAAGACACATGATACAAGCTAGGTGTGACTAACTAGAGTGAGTAGGGAAGTTGATAAATTCAGAAAAGGGTCGAAAAGATAATACAGAATTCCAGTTCGGATGGCATAGCACACTGCAGACCCTAGATGACCCACTTAGCAACTTTAATTCTTCTCTCTTGGGAAATTTTGGCTTCTGAACACGTATGTAACATGTGAATTATATCCTCACTTTAATTCATATCATCATTGTGCTACCCGCTGAAGTAGGACTGGTACTCAGGCACGTCCTCAAAAAACGGTACGAAGAGTTCAAGAGGTTGTTGCGCCTAATGCCACATTGCTGCTGAGGTTCGGAGCCTGGTCTGAAATCCACCTGGCTCCAAAATCCATGCTCCCTGCTGCTTTTTTTCTGGTTTCGCTTGCCCCAAATTTTCTTTGTGTTTGTGTTCAGTAAAGTATGAGGATTGGACTGCTAAAGAAATTAATTGTAACCATTTTAAATTCGAAAGTCTGAACTGACCATTCTAATGATAGCACTGAGGTATTCATTGATTTTGTTCTCTAGGTCCCTGGAGTGAGGGTCCTTCCAGCTGATGTCAGCTCTAAACATTGGAATTGTGATCGTGTGCTGACTGACCACTTAGTGATGGAGGCTACGTAAGAGTTTAACATAATTACCAATACTACTGAAAAAATATCTCTGTAGTCTAACACTAAATAATTAGCATAAAAATTAGCATACAAAAGACAAAACATGTAAGCGAAGCAAATATTCCCAGAGCTAACTTATCTCTACAGATCTATGAAGTCTTCATAGACTTCATATTTTTTTTTTATTCAGACATTTTTCTTTTAAGCCTACTGCAGGTCTATAATCTCAGAACTCATGAGGCTGAGCAAGAAAATCATGTGTACACACACAACCAGGAAACCCCCTTTCACTGTACACAAAATAGAAGGATAAAAAAAGAGAAAACAATTGTAGTCTTAGAAATTATGTAAAATGTAGACAAAAAAAGCCAAAGGGGGGAAAAAGCAGTAATAAGCCCATTGTGGCTTATATTAAGTAGAAACTTTTATGGTATAACAAGCACGCATTGAAATATTTGCTCACACACCAGAAGTCTTGGGAGCTAAGCAATGGCTGGGTCCTTACAAGCACATACTGCTCTTGCAGGGGTCAGAGGTTTGTTCCCAGAACCAGCATACAACTGTCCAGCAAGCTCGCAACCACTGTAATTCTAAATCCAGGAAGAGCTGATGCCTCCGGCCTCCTAGGGCACCTGCACTACACAAACAAATACACACACACAGACGCACGTGCATGCTTGCACACAGACACACAACATATAAAACAAAAATGATGAAACATCCCAAATAAAAGATATATATGTGTATATACAAATTTACAGATTGTAAGGAACTATGAGGAAATATTTTATTTTGTATGATTCCTATACATAATTTACGAAACAAAAATAACAAAACATGCAAAGTACAAGTACTATAAAAAGTACTTGTAGAAAAAGTACTTTTAGAAAGTTCTTATTCCCTTGTAACTTTTTCCCCCAAACATTGTTTGATAACTATTTCCCATACAGAAACCCCAGACCTGCAAATACATACATTTAATTTCATATGTGGCACGCTTACCTTAAGATGAGATTTCTCAGGCAGAATCATACCCTGCTGTTTGTATATATATGTATGTATATATATATATATATATATATATATATATATTACATACACACAAGCTTACAGATGATGGAGCAATATTCTTTTTTGTAGGACAGTTGACTACTGAGTGTGTGTAAATTTCTATAATTGTAAAAGTCACAGGATCCTACAAAATCTGTTTAGTTTTTTTCAAAGTTTTTCTTTTCTATGAAGTGCAAACACTCCTTTGTTTGTATGTTTGTGTTTTTTTTTTTAACCAGATAATCCACAAGCAGCTTGATAAGCCTTCTTCCAGTCCTGTGTACACCTGTGCTTTCCTCAAGGTAATTACACGCAGAGATTGTCTGGCTGCTCATACTACACGCTTGCCTGCAGCCCATTCCCCAAGGCTTCTCTTATTCCTCTGCTCTGGATCATGCCAATAAAGGACGACATCTGTGCAGCCGATCATGGTGAGCCATTTCAGGTAGGCCATGTGTTGTTGTACCTTGACCTAACATCTCATTTCTGTTCTCACCACTACAGCCAATTAATGCGAGGCCTTTTAAGCAGCCAGTTGACTGGTCTGGTCGCGTGCCGGCTATCACCACAAGAGCTTAAGGGCCACAAATCTCTGTTATTACCAAGCTGTTGCTGCCAGAAGCACGCTGACTCCTGACAAAAAGAATAGATTAGGATCAATCAAATCTCCCCCAGGCTTATCAGTGGGACTTTCAACCGCACCTTCTACCTCAGAGTTTCCCCTTCTCCTGCTTCCAAACACCTACGCAGTGGCAAGCTAACAAGGTGCCTGCCAAACCATATGTTCATAATTAGTTAACTTCTTGCCTGTCGCTAGAGGCACCACTCAGCCAGCAACAGCCGTCAAGGGTGTTGGGCATCCAATAAGACACAACCAAGCAGCACAGCCGCTCAGCTCAGCGCTAGAAGAGGCATACTTAATTCCAGCTGTGGCATTGTTAAGTGAATTAACTTTATCCTCAATTTAAAAAGCCAGCATGAAATCAAAGAAGACCTTAGAAAAGGAAAAAAAAATAGAGAAAATGAAAAGAAAAATATGCTTGTAGGTTAACTCAAGAGTCCAGCGTGCTGAATGAAACTCAACTGGTTTACCCATTTAGCCAATCATTGCAAAGCAGGTTTCTGGCATCATTATTGCTCCTGGCACAATTCTTGCTTTTATTTCCCAGTTCTGCGGTTAAGGTCTCTTGTTACACACAGAGGGGACTGGTGATATAATTGTGAATGAGTCAGTAGAACACATTTTTAGGAAGTAGTGAGGGTTCCAGACAGTGATGAGAAGTCAAATGTTAGAAACAGCGGGGTATGATTCTGGCTGAGAAATCTCATCTTAAGGTAAGCGTGCCACATATGAAATTAAATGTATGTATTTGCAGGTCTGGGGTTTCTATATGGGAAATAGTTATCAAACAGTGTTTGGGGGGAAAAGTTACAAGGGAATAAGAACTTTCTAAAATTGTTCTAGTTGTCATTGAGTATACAAGAAATGTCTAATATTTTGAAAATGTATATATTGCTTTAAATTTACTTATTTTATATAAATAAAAAGCACTGATGAATATTTTGGACAAACTTACATATATGCCATAACAAGTTCATCAACATAACTTTGTTTAAAGGAGTAACACTAAAAATAACAACATAGAATAATGCTGAATTTTACTACCAGAATTTGGCAATGCCATTTTTTAAAAACCCAGTAAGACTATGGGGAATAAAATTCTTGACTTAAGAATAGAGTATATTTCCTATAACTTAAATGTTAATATACTTTATTTTGAATTAATACACATGAATATATTATTAAAGTTAGAAAGAAAAATTGTCATTGACAACATATATGGGACCAAAGAGGTGGACATAAATGCAGCAGAAACCAAAAACAGCAGTTAAAAGATAAGTTAAATAATCCGTAAAAATAAATAGAAATAGAAAATTGGCTATTTAAATAATGCTAATTTTAAGACTTGTGGTTTTGTTGCTGTTACTATAATTCCTCCTATGAAGCAATCTGAGAATTTCGGGCAATGCAAAAATTAGGGCAGAACAACTCAAAAGTTAAGTATCCACTAAGCATGGCCCACTGTCACAAGTTAAATCTCAGCTTGTGATCCAGTTTCCTTGTCAAATTGCACAATCTCTGCTATTATATTAAATAACCATTGAGGGTGGCAAGGGACTTGGGGCTGCTGAGTAACAGACACTGTCATAATGATATGTGGCTTAAAGTGAATTAAGAAACAACTGATAGGGTGTAAGACCAGGGAATTAAAAGACAGGAGTCAATGGGAAAATGCAGAAACCGTAGACCACTATGAGTTACAGGCAATTTTCTTAACAACGCTTTAGGGGTTACACAAGCTGTGTCTTCACCACCCACTGTGGAGGAGACTGGCTAACATCCAGGGCCAAAGGTTTGCTTTTAATTACAAATTGTCATCTTAAAAAAAAAATACATATTTTTGCGACTTGTCATTAAGCAAACAACAATTCTTTTAAAACTGAGGGTAAACGTATTTACCAATTAATAAACTTAATTTTTCAGTTTAGCCTCTTCGAAATTTCTATTTTGATGGGCCTTAATGAAAGAAAGCTTAATTGACCCAAACTGTAGTTTTGTTTTCATAGCCAAAGGCTCATTTACAAGGTCGTAGTGGGAGGTCTTTACTTTCCCTTTTCAGTGCGTTTAATATACAATGAAATTTCACTTACTATTGTGAGTATTGTAATCAGGAACGTAAAGATGTACAGATTAGACATGTGAAATGATCCTGATTATATCCCGGGAACTGATTTTGAGAGCTCTTAAAACCTTGTAACATTTTTGCAGTGAGAAAAAGTGACTCGCTAAAGAAGATGAGCAGGACGCTTGACAAAAACTGAGCAGTGATGAGCAGTGCAGACTGGGGAAACAAGAGGCTATGGAAGATGCCATGTTTCAGGTTAGTGATGGGTTCGTGGCCAAGATGGTGCTGGTGAGACTGGTTAGGAAGGAGCGGAAACAAGAAATGCTGAGGACTGACTGAGAAGGCTCTTCCTGACAGAAGAGGGAGAGAGAGAAGTTAATAACGCCAAACCAGCATGTGTTAATAAAACACTGGTGTCAGAAAAAGTGTGACTGGGAGTATATTAGAAGTCAGCTGTTGGTACACAGAACATGCTGAGCTTGCTGCCTGTCTAATTGGAATGGAGGAGTGAGTTAGGACGCACAGCAAAGCAGAATCGCTGACAGGACCGGAGGCCTGATGATCAGATGGGGCAGACTTCCACTGGGAGTCAACAGTGCAAAGGGATTATCGGTTCACTCCAGGCAGTGGGTCTGTGGGAGAGGGCTGCTGAGGGGAAGTCGGGCCTCAGAACAGGGCGGGGTGTGTCTGGAAACGATCTGAAAGCAGCCCCAAAAGACAATTCTTCACAGTAAGAAAAGGTAACATTTTGTGGGGCTTAGAGACCAAGCATGAAGAAAAGGGCTGGAGTCAAAGGGCGCGGACATCCTTCCACCTTCCAACCCTTCTCTAAACCCTGGGTGACCCTGATACAGTGACATCACACCGACAAAGGCAACATGGTTGTATCCTCGGAATTCTGCAGCCATTGTTGAAGAGGAGTGTGGGCAATGCGTATTTGTGCTCATGGGGGCCAAAGAGAGCTTCAGGTCCCCTGAGATTGGAGTCATGGGCAGTTGTGAGGTGTCCAGCACCCATGCTGGAAATTGGATTTGGGTGCTGTGCCGGGGCCAAGAGTGCTCCTAAGAGCTGAGCCATCTCTCCAGGTCCATCATTAACATTTTAAACATCGATATTTCTAAAATACTAATAAGAAAAGGTTCAAAATTATTTACATTAATAAATTCATAGCACCTCATAATTTTTACCAAAATAACTGTAATTTTATAGTTCTCCCTGTATCTCAGATGTTGTAACATTCTTTGTTCCATTTGCCAGGTAATTACAGGTATGCCTACTAGATAGGTTTATTGAAAACTAATTAAAGACATTTTCTAATGAGCTCAGTATGTTTTTAGGCTCTTTATTACAGTAATTCCTATTCTTTCTCCACTTTTTTTTTCTTTCTCTTACTTTAAATAGTTTTTCCTAGTTCTGTAGATTACATAGTAGGTTCAACTTGCAGTTTTTGTTCCCCAGGGTTTTGTGGGGATTCTGTTTGTATGTTTATTTGTCAGGAAGTCAGGATGATTGCATGATAGGCAAGTGCTCTGTCACTGATCAAAAGCGCCAGCTCATTTCTCAGTATTTTTAAACCTAAAAACCACTTTGTATGTATTCCTTCCTAACAAATTTTGATGAAAACGCCATTGTTTTCTGTGGTTCCAAATGTTTTATGATATCCATTGTAACTTTTCCTTTTTGAAGAATTCATTGTTTAGCCCTTTAAATATGGAGTTTAAATATTTTTAATTAATATTATTAATTTTTAATTTTGTATTAAAATCCAGTAGTTTACTACAGATTAAATCTTAATCTCTCAATCCAGTGATATAAAGTAAAGACAAGATGTTCTAACAGGACCTTACACCAGTGTTCAGCTGTCTATGGAAACTGGAAGATAGGGAGTGGGTTTGAAATTTAGACTTTGTAGCTGATGGGCTGTGGAAGGTGAAGATGAGAGAGATGAAATGTTACCTTCAGGATTAACTCTAATGCAGCATAGATGATGGCCTCACTATTTGCTGAAAGGAAAATCGGAATGCTCTCAGTCAGAATATGTAACTATCCTGGACACAGTGTGCCTGTGCTGCCAGGAGACAAGGATGCCTTGAGACAGTGACCCTCCTCCGAGATCAAGGGAGAAGACGTGGCTAACTGCATACATTTCCAGCTCATCAAGGCACAGAAGCACTGGAGTCAGGGCAAGGACTGATGGGAGGAACAGGGCTAGTGTAGAGCAATTTCCACAACCTATCTGAGGAAAAGAGACGGACACAGGAAAAACTGAAGTGTGAAAGAATGAAAAGAAAAGGAGTGTGTGGCATCCAGACAAGAAAATAGAGAATTCGACGTAAAGTCCAAATTGACCATTTGACTACATTGGCATCAACAAGAAAATGGAATGCTTGACAATCCTCTTGATTATATATATATTTATATATATATATATATTTTCTAAGCCCATCGAGTACCTCTTAGAATTATGAACAATAATCCATATAGCAATTTTGATATTGCAGAAAATGGCACAAATTATACAAATTACACTGATAAGATTAAGAGACCCAGGGGTGTTTTATTAATTCATTTATGTTTCACTTTTAGCTTTTGCCCCAAGTGCATTTTTTTGGGAAAAGCACACTAGTCACACAGCCATGAAGGCACACTCTAATGATCTGGATCGACTTCATTCTCTCTGCTCAAGCTATGTTACAATAGAAGACTTCGTGAAATATCATATGTATCCAGTTGAATGGTCTTGGAACTTGTCCTACAAGTCTACCCGCTCAAGATTGAGTATAATTGAATCTCACTTGTAAGTCACCTCGATGGGTCTATACCTCCATTATGTGTTACTAGAGGAGCCCTATATTGGAGATTATTAGAAAGACCCCCAAAGTCATTCATTCATTCATACATACATATATACATACATAAACAGAGAAAGAGATTGTTGATTTACATACCTTTTTTTTTACTCATATATTTCACAGACAGATAAATCCAGAGGAAAGGTGAATAATTGTTATCATTATTTACATATTTTAAATTTTAAAACAGAAATCTAGAGATATTGGCCAAAGGTCAAGTGACCACTTGAAAGTTACTCTGGATTCTACTGGTCACATGATTGTTCTAGCATAAGATTTTTAAGGATCTCCATACTAAATTGTATAGTGGGTATTTTATTTGCTTTTCCACCATATAATATGATCTTCTTCTCCACTGCATAAACGAATCCTGCCCAGCATTTCTCAATGTTTTTCCTTCATAATGGAGATTATCTACATATCTGTTTTTATCACAACACTATTTGAAACCAGCCAAGCTGTCCAGCAGTGAATGAATAGATGAAAATAAAATGTGGATTTCAAACCAACAGCAGAATAAAATTTCATACCCTAAATTAAATCTTATTCTCATATTTTTACATCTTCTGGGTTTGGTTTTGAAAAAAAAAATGCTTTCCATTCACAATTTTTTAGGCAGAAGATAGAATGTCCTAGATCTGATCAGCATTTAAAGCAAATTGATTTATTGGCCTCTTTCTTTTTGTGTTTTTTGTTTGTTTGCTTGCTTTTTTGTTGTTGTTGTTGTTGTTTTGAGTGAGGGTCATAGCCTTACTCTGTAGTTGAGGCTGTCATTGAACTCACAATACCTTTGTCCCTATTTCTCTAGTACCAGTTAATTTAAAGCAAATTAACAGAGCTTCACACTGCAAGTCATACATAATAAGAAATGCTGTTACAGTGGTTGCAACCTTCACTTCATTTAAATGAACTTAAAAGTGCAAAATGGACCTACGTTTTTTTTTTTTTTATCAGAATGTTGATCCCTGTTAACGGAGTTGTCCTCTGCTTCAGCCTGGGGGATATTAGAACTGTCTTCAGGAAGCCCCCTCTAGTGTCTGAAGGATGCAACTGCTCACTGAGGATGGATTTGTGAGAGAATTTTTAAAAAGGCAAGCGTGTCAAGAGTGCCTAGTGCAAAAGCGACAGCTAAAAGTTCACTCTCAGACTTGTTCTGTCAGCAACCGGGAAAATCAACCCTCCAGTGAGAACGACGATGGCAAAGCATACTATCGGTCACTGGTAAATCAAATCATACAACTCAGGTCTCTCCACGCCTGGTTTAGAAAATACCCCACCACACTTGTGGTCTTGGATTTGGGTCAAGCAAACCCAGAGTAGAAGAAAAACAGTGTGTTTGAAAGCTGCTGATGCTTGTTTTAAATGGAAGGGCGACCTACAAGAGGGAAGACTCATGGGCGTACAGAAGAAGCTCGGAATGGTTTAGGGAATGGGGCTAAAGAAGAGGCTTTTCCACTTAACAACAAGGATTCCGAAACAGGGTGATGAAGAAGAGTTGATTTGTTAATCAATGCCTAAAATTCTGTTAAGGGTTAGAAACATCCTAAAAATGAGCATTCTGAAACAGGAATTTGTCATTCTGATAAAAATCAGTGATGAAAGCCAGCCAGTAACTCCCCCCCACCCCGCCATTTGTTAAAATCTCCTTTGTTTACTAGCCTCTTATCCATGTCACCTGGCTCAGCACCTACTGTTCACACATCGCTCAATACACATCTTATAGCAAGGTATACACCTTGATTTTCCCAACCCGGCCTCATTCATTATCAAGGACTAACATCAGTGATAGCCATGAAACTATTCACATTACCATGCCCTTAAAGAAAATAAGTGTCCCTTCCTTCCTCCAGAATGCACAAAGAACTCTTTGGCTCTAGAGAAAAGTTTCAAATACTGTCTCCCTGCAAAGACACAAATCAGAGCCAGTCTTGTTGACTTTTTTCTTCAGTATGTGGCATTTTCTGTGTACTGTTCTTGAGAATTAATTTGTGAATAATATTCTGCTCTTTCAGAATTATTAAATATTGTTTAGAAATATTAAATATTAAACTATAAAGCAAAGTGATCCTATTATTGTAGGAAACAAAAAAAAAATAGGGAAGGGAAATAGGGTATTCCCAAAACTGATTAATTCTCAGTCTCTTCTACATTGTAACACTTACAGAATATTGTATTGAAGGGCCATGGATATACAGTAGCAAAATTCATATTGCCTGATATAAAGTATATTTCATACCTGAGCTAACTTTCAGCCAAAAGACCAGTGAAAGGTAAGGGAAATAAGGAGGGCATGTTTTGCAACATACAACAGGCAAAATTGCAACAGGCAAAATGTGTTAGACAAAATGACTTCACATATAATAAAATATATGAATTGAATTGAGAAAGAACTGGGAAGATTCCTGGATCTCTTAGGCACAGTCCACGGGGCTCAAGGGATGAAAACAGCAACAACATGTTTTAATGTAAGTTGTTCAGTTATTAGTTGAGCAGTGTGATGAGAGGCGAAATGATAGGATAATGGAGATAAATTTCCATTAACTTACACATTAAAATGGCAAGATATAGAAGTCTAATTTTCTTTCTTATCTTTAGTGTTCATGACTTTCATAAAGGAAGGTAAATAATGAATAAGCTAAATGTTATTGAAAGCTAAATGTGTGCAAATTATCTCAGTTTAGTTTTATGAGAAATTTGAATATTTTTGGTGGTCGTGATGGGCAATCAGTTTAAGAAAAACCACAGAGGCATCAGTGAATTTTGGAACACCTTCTTCAAGAATATTTTAGTGTGTGTGTGTGTGTGTGTGTGTGTGTGTGTGTATTTGTGTGGTAGATGCTCTATGGTGTTTTTATTCTAGTACTGGTTATCAAATAAATGGCCTCATATGGTCTAGGCAAACTCTTTGCCACTAAATTAACATCTCAGTCCTTAAAACATGTCTAAGTTTATAAAAGAATGTTATAAATACATTAGAAATATTGTCAAATTAAAAAAGTTGAGGTGATTTAATTATAAAAATGTTGCATTCACAAACCTTACATTGCTTGGTTCTAGGACTGGATGCTTAGAAGAGTAAATTCATGGTAGTAGATGGGTTTCCAGAGGCGACAAGGCACGATGGGGATCCACGTACTTAGTACTGATGCTGTTGCTGCCATTGCACCCATTCCTGGGCTCCCTAGTCCTTTGTGAGAGGTTCTCAACTCTACAAAATTACCCAAGGATGATTAAATGAGCTCTGCACTGTACCCAAGAAGAGGTGTGTGTGTGTGTGTGTGTGTGTGTGTGTGTGTGTGTGTGTGTGTGTTTAGCAGCTCTGGGATACATTTTACAACCTTTTTCCATTGTCGGTTGAAGAAAAGTTTCCTTGTCCACCTAGCACTTAGCTAACTTACTGTTTTTCCCCTTTTCATTTTTGAGTTGACATCTCATTCTTCCAAGAAATATCCTCCAACACAAATCCATACAAACCAGTCTTCTTATGTTTGTCTTCCCCAACATTGTAAAACTTAGTTCCATAATCTGTGTCTTATCCTTTTGACAGAACCCTTGGCACTGATGGTCATTCTCCTCTTTTTCTTCTCTTTCTGACAAATTTTGACCTTCCTAGCTGTTCACAAGCCTCTACCTTTGTCTATCAATGAATTCATTATCTTCTACTTTACAGAGAAAATTCAACTGATCAAGTAAACTCTTCATCTTTCTCCTAAAATATGGGTCGTTCTTACCTCGTAAGTTCAAACCTTGTCCTAAGTTGTATAACTTTGTTTTTTGTCTCAGTCTGACATCCCCGACCCACTATATTTCTGGTCTAGTTTGAACATGAAAGATTTCCTAAGACTCCCTTGTTAATGTTTAAGCCAACCAGGTGGCAATATTTTGGGAAAATTCCGGAAACTTTAGGGTTTGGGATCTACCTAAATAAAAGTGAGTCACTGAGGTCAAGTCTTTTGGGGCATTGTGTCTCTGGCCTCTTCTTGTCTTCCTCTTATCTTTCTTTATCATTGAGATAAGCAGCCTTTGCCTGTCATTTTGTCCTTAGCCATGATGTTTTGTCTGATCTCAGGGAACAAATGAGCACGGACTGAATTCTCTGAAACTGTGATTCAAAATAAATATTTTCTCCATCACATGTTCTATCTTAGATTTAGGTCATAGTAGTGAGAAAATACTACTAACCCAGACTCTGTGGTGACCTACTTTATTAAGAATGCTTCACTCGGATGCACTATGCCCATGATTATCAAATCTGGTTTTCAAGACACTGATTTTTTTTTTCAAAAACACAATATATAATTTTAATTTTCTTCCCAACCAAACCTCAGAATGGGTTGGAAAAGCTGACAGCAAAAATAAATGAATTGAAAATGAAACTAGCCAGAAAAGTAACTAAAGCTTATTGTTTTAAAAATACGGTGATCGTGACAACGTGGTACTATGGAACATAAACACAGAGAGAGCAGAATAGAACATTCAAAAGAGAGTCATTCAGGATATGATCACCTGACTATTGTGAGTGGTAACACAGCAGTGGAATACAGATGCTTTCTAAGAAATGGACTGAAACAATGTGGATCTGTTTGTTGACAAAGATGAATCTTAACTTCTGTTTCAGGCAACATAAAGTTGATCTAGAGACACTGAAGATAGGGGTGGTTTGTAAACAATATAAGGAAATTTATTAAGGAAAGATCCATTTCCAAGAAAGGGACTGGGCAAGAGCAGGGGGAAAGATGAGCAGCTCAACCACACTGCTCTGTGAGGCTGAAAGTTTTGTGTCTGCCTCACTTAAATCATAGCTTCTCTCACAGTCTCTATCTGGTATGTGTTACCTCACATATGACTTCACGCAGCTTGTATCTTATTAGCATCTCAGCACCTCAATGAGCCATAGGTTTCTCCCAGTCACTTTGGAGCCTCATATACTTTCCTCCTTGACAAATTTTGTTTCATTTTTATTAGGGTACATTAATTATATATATAAATACATAATACTATATTTTACTATTTTTTTGTTTTTAAGATTTAATTTTATTTATATAGTTATTTTTTCTTTTTTTCTTTATTATTGTACTATATTACTCATCCTCTCTTACATTCTTTTGTGCTACCATCTTTTTATCCTTTTCTTGTTCCCAACTATTTTTGCTTCTACTGTTATTTTTTTTCCTAAGGGAAGGGGTGACTCAATGAGTTCCATAAAGATAGCTTACAGAGGGTATTCTTTGCAAGCTCATGGGCATTTTACTGGTGATTGTGCCACCGAATAACATGTCTCTCCCTCTTCCATCACTCAACAACTGCTTATATACCTGTGTTATGTATGTCACCCTCTGCTCTATGGCAGAGATGGACCCAATCTTGTGCAGGCAAGCACTGATATAATGAGTAAAAGAGTGCAGCAGCCATGACATGCCCAGATGACCGAACTCTCCTCCCTCTTTTTTGTTGCTGACATTTTCCCCTCACCTTCTTTCAAAATATCCTCTAAGCCTTTGAGGGGTGATCTCTATGTCCCATTTACAGCTCAGCATCCCACGCTGTTCATTCTTACTTTCAGCAGCTATGAATCTCTGCAGTAAATGCTATCCATTGAAAATGGAAGCAACTCTAATCAAAGCGAACAACAGCACTAATCTCTGAACATAAACATTATATTAGAAAGCTACTTTATAGACCTATTATGTTTAGTTACCAGAATAATTTACTTCCACCAAAGGGTGTAAGAACTCACCAGCTGCAGAATTTTGGCCAAGATTATAGTACCCAACATTACCTGCTTCCTGTGTAACAACCTCACATTCAATCAGCAAATGGTTAGTTGTCCTGAGAGCTGAATTGCCATGAATTCATCAGTGGATATCAGGCCTGTTGAAAGTATGACATGCAGGGTCCACAGGGAATAAGACAGTTGATATCAGATTTCTTCCATCAACCTGGATAGCACCTTTCAGCAACCAGAATATGTCTGTTCAACAATAAGGTCTCAGGTGGTTAGCAACCCATGGAATTGGCAATGGCCTATATTTTTTTAGGATCTTCAGTAGACCTACAGTCATATGTTGGAAGAAAGTCCAACATATGAGACAGAACAATAAGACCAGGAAAAAAATTTTGGAGCAGCTAAACAATTTAAGTATACAGCAATAATAAATTATGAAGAAAATATTCATTGAACTACTTTAAAATTATATTGCCTAATATTAACACTTTCAATG